GACAGACAACAGTACTGGAGTTGGAGAGGCTGGTAGTGATGGTGTTTATGAGCTTAGTACTTCAGCAGGATGTGCTAAAATGTGAGATGAGGTGGAAGCTGAACTGTTGAGATTATGGAAGAATAAGCAGTCTATATCCACTGCTTTTTCATGTAAGCAAGGTGCAAAGGAAGAGATTGGTATTTTTGTAAAGAGATTTTACAGGTGTTGGAAGGATGAGGCAGGTTTGAAGTCTGGAGATGATATGTATCTCCTTAAAATACAGTCATGCCTTGGTAATATGTTGCCACAGTATTCTTTGCTTGTGAAACAATTGATTTTAGACTGGGCCAATTTGGGTGGCTCAGATTTTCTTACCAAGGTTATAGAGAAGGAAAATGCAGGTTGTTTTGACTTAAGAAAAGATTCAGAAAGTAAGGTTGCTTATTATGCTCAGAGATTGCAACACTGTCCACCTACACAGGCCCGAGAGAGAGGATGGGATGGAGCACATAGAGCCCGTGTAAGGGGTGGTCAAAGAGGGGCAAGGGGATGGAGACAGGGAAATCAGGGGCAGGGGTAACCAATGAGGAATAGACAGGAACACTTGTTTCAACTGTGGCCAGCATGGCCACTGGAGGAATGAGTGTCCACACCCCAGGAAACCCCACCAGCCCCAACAACCCCACAATTCTCAAAATACGCCCGGTAGGCAAGAACAACACCAGGCCCACTCCCAACACCACTGGCCAGCACTTCCCCCTCCCCCCTCGCTCCAGCAAACCCAAACTGCACTAAGGCCATTCACAGGTACTACTGACCAGCACACCCACCACATCCCATGGCCCCAATAGGGCTGCCTTGAAGGTGACACTCCAACTTTTCCACTTTTGTCCTCTACTAATGATGATATAAAAAAGCATTTTTGCATTCTGGTCATAGAAGGTAGATCCTTGCCATTTTTGGTAGATACTGGAGCTACGTGTTCCAGCCTCTGTGACACCTATTATCAGGGGACAAGGGAAAGGTCTACACCTTCATTGGGTATTAATGGAGTGTCAACATCCACTTTTGTCACACCATCACTGTCTGTTTTCTGTATCTTAATGGTTCTTCTACTGTGCACCCTTTTCATTTAATACCTAAATGTCCTGTTAGTTTGCTGGGAAGGGATCTTCTTGGTATTCTGGGAGCTACCATTATTTGCACGCCCTCTGGTGGTATTGATGTGTCTATGTTGTGTTCTGAAACTATTGATTTGTCTGATGTTCCTTCCTCTGTGTGGGCTTCATCTAAGTTAGATGTAGGATTTGTCAACTGCACCCCTTACAAAGCCAAACTAAAACCAGATGTAACTCCTATCTACCTTAAACAGTACCCCCTGTCAGAAGCCAAGGTTGAGGGAGTTCGCCCCATGATCCAATCTTTTCTAGAGCAGGTAATACTAAAGCCAGTAGTTTCCCCATATAACACACCTATTAATCCAGTTCCTAACGGTAATGGTTATCGCTTAGTTCAGGACTTTAGAGCCCTGAATAGTTTAATTGTGCCCATTGCACCCATTGTCCCTGATGTGACATACCTCATTACAGCCATTCCACATGATGCGACTTGCTTCACTGTCATTGATTTAAGTAATGCATTTTTTTCTATACCTATTGATCAAGAGACACAGCTACTTATGGCTTTTACTTTTGAAGGCTGTCAGTATACCTGGACACGCTTACCCCAAGGCTATGTGGATTCCCCAGCCGTTTATTCGCTAGTACTCCAACATACTCTAAAAACAAGGACCCCCCGTCATGGTTCCGTCCTTTTGCAATATGTTGATGATTTGTTGTTATGTAGCCCTAGCTATGAGGCAAGCACTTGGATACTGTCAGTTTGCTCAAACACTTAGCAACTGTGGGTCACAAGGTTGCAAAACACAAAATGCAATTGTGTAAA